CGTCAGTGCCACGTCATGTCCTAACGATCTCCGTTCACCTTTGAGACCATCTGTTGATTATATATTTATCAATGGAATTTTATTCCTCGGGCAAACAGGAAACGGACAGTGAACAAAAACAAACAAAATAATGAAACGAAACAAAATATATTTGAAATACGGATATTTATTTATTTTTTCATAAAAATTCTAAATTCAATAATGTGTTTAAACATGTAACATTTACATATATGCATTTATACAAAGATATATGCAATGGTTAGTGATTTTAAATACTAAAGTTGGAGCATAAGGATTCAACCCCACTTATTAGCACGCTTGGGCACTGCCTCCGTGTTAAACGTTTATTTTAATGCAGTACCATCAGCATGCTTTAGCATTAAGCGAGCCGACGAAACCTCCCAAAAACACACGTTTGATATGGCCGTGGTGCTCAAGCGTACTGACAAGTAGGGTTAAACCCTAACAGACTTACAATGATGCTGATGTATGTGACGATCACATTTTACACTTAAAAATAATATTTACCAAGTATTGTCAAATGGGAAAGGTTTATTATATGTCAATATGCTTTTCATTTTGATGAATACTGTGCGCTTTTCTTTTATACTAGCTCGATCGTAATATCTTCATAAACTGTGGGCCGAAAAACTATATCTGCTAATAGATATACATATATTAGATGACTTACTATAAGCATAACACCAAAGATATAATACTGATATTGTTGTTTATGTAGATATCACACGATCCCACCAAGGTAGCTGTTTTCCATTCAAAGTAATGGCCGAAAGGGACAACCCGCAAGTATTTACAAATGAATGAAAATGATGTTATCGTCGATAAAACTATTTCAAAAGTTTTACAATGAAAAAGAAAATCGCTTCAGATGGAGAAATAAAAACAAATGAAAATCTATTGGGAATATTTTACGATATAGCGAAAATCAAACACTATAGCAACTCTCTTCAATGTAATAGCGTAAGTTAAAACTTTAGTTTACATCAATTTAATTTAATCGAATATTGAAATGGACAAACAGTATCATCTAATTTTATAATTATTATCTCTTCAACATGATGTTCGTTAATACATTGAATAGAATATAGGAAAGGCTACTAAAAATAAACACGTGAAATCTTGTCAATTACAATTTCTATTAAACGCTATAGTTTACAGATTCAGTCAACTCGGAAATTACAAATTATTGAATTAAAAAATTCATTAAGTTTTATTACGACAAGTAAATATATATTTAATATTACTGAGATTTGGACTAGACAAACCACATTTTCTATCTACAGATATGTAATCCATGATAAATGCTAATATGAAAAAATCTAACTCCCGTGTCGGTTAAGTGATGTGCTTGTTGCTACATATCGATGTGTATTCTCAAAACCATTTGGAAACCACGTTGTTTCGAACTTAAACGCGTGTTGATTTCTCTTTCTTTCATTGTAGAAAATTACATTCTCATCTGTATTATTTGCAACAGCTGACACATGAAGTGATTTTAGTGTATCTAGATCACTGTACTAGTACATAGATAAAAATAAACCGCGTTCCAAAAAATTACGAAACCTCAACAAAACAAAAGAAAGAATATATGCTTCCAAAAATATACCTACAAAGATCGAAGTAAAGATACAAAAAAAATATATTTACTAAATAATAAAATAGAGATTAAAAAACAAAATAAATCTAACGGTTACAAAAACAGACATGAAAACCCCGTTAAATATACGAAGTTCAAAAACAAAGTAAATACTTTCAGTTCCGAAATAAACGTTAGTTAAAAATAATATCGGTGGACGACCTATTTCAGCCAATGGGCACTTCTAATTATAAGATTTAGTCTTGATCTCAATTTGAATTAGTGAAGATGGGTGAGTCATTGATGTTACAGTAAATAATTGTAATAAACTGACAAGGAAACGTATAAAGTAAGTAGTGAAAGATATTCAGACGGTCTATAAATTTTAACAACCCAAAAACCATTGAAAGTTTCATGCATTTATAAGAAACATAGAATATACTTTGAACAAAAGAGTAATATAGATACGAACAACAATAACATTACTATTGATTGACGTAGCAAACAAAGCTGTGATCTAAATTTTAATAATAAATACGACCAAACCAATCCTTCTAGAAATCTGTATAAAAACTCCATAATTGCTAATTAGGAACACAAGACAAATTACGATGAATAGTGGGATAGCCAACTTGCAATACCGGGTCTATTGGCATCAACTATGAAAAGAATGATTAATCAAGGAAGTAGAAGAAGTATAACGTGATCAACGATACCTACTACTGTACTAGCGCACTTGATGCGGCGTTCCAAGGACACGCTGTATTTCGCTGATGTGCGGTGAAGACGAAACACAACAATATTATAGATTTATAAACAACAGAATGGTCTGACTACACAATAACAGAGTAGGGATAATGTAAAAAAAGTAGTCACTACGGTTATCATTGTTATAAATTTAAATAGACTAGGCTGCAAGGTCTAAAGACCATTTGCCTTTCCCAAAGGAAAAGTACGTAATATAACATCAATAATTTCATCAACTCCACCGTACTTTTTCTTTTACTTAATTTGTTTGTTCTTTTTAGTAATATAAAAGATAATAGTTATATTATAAATATAAAGAAAAAATTAGTAATGCAAGTAATAGCGACTTTGCGTTAATTTGACGTTAATTCCTCAACTCAAACTCAACTCAAATTTGCTTTGGGGTAATGCCGCGGATATCAATAGAATCTTTGTCCTGCAGAAACGTGCAGTTAGGGCAATTTACAATTTGGGCCCCAAAGTATCTTTGAGAGATTATTTTAAGGAAATTAACATTCTTACACTAGCCTCACAGTACATTTATGAAAATGTAATTTATGTTAAAAGGAATAGTAATTTATTTATGAAAAATAGTGACAGACATAACATTAATACGAGGAATAGAAATAAACTAGCTTTTCTTGATAGTCGTCTTCACAAAGTCAAAAAATCATTTAAGGGGCAATGTATACGCTTCTATAACAAGATTCCGGTTGATATACAAAATTTGCCTTTCACGAGGTTTAAAACTATAGTGAAACAAAAACTTTATACTAAAGGTTATTATACAACTTCTGCGTACTTGGATGACAAAAATCCGTGGTAGTAACCCGTTTAGCTCATGGAGGTAGTCTCGATCTCTGATGTTTCAAATAAAAAAAAAATATTGTAAATGTTATTTACAAAGAGCAACCCCTAGAGTTTCTTGCTCATTCTTCTCAGGGGAATCTGCCTTACGAATGAGCGGTAAAGTTTAACCATTGTGACGATTTCAAGTGTAATAATGCTTACCTATGAAATAAAGATTATTTTGAATTTGAATTTGAATCAACTATGGATAAATATCATTGGTAAACATTCAATATTATCTACCTGCCTAGCTTATTCCCAATAGGCCTCGAGTATATAACCAGAAATGGAGACGAAATGTCATTTCATTTGTTTGAAAACTATTCTGCCATATCATTACTGTGACAACTGCGCTCCGATGGGCTAGCCCGAGTTCGAAACAATTCACGGGTGTCGTCAATGGGTGTGGTCAACTGTTTCACTTCAAATCCACCAGTTGAGCTTTGCTATAATGGACGAAAATTGCAAAATAACATATTTAATTACCGATGAAATGTGATTCCGTTTGTTTTGTAATTAGATGTTTTGCTGTTTTTCCCACACCACCGAATAGAAGCACAGCATTGTTAGAGATATTATCTTTATTACAATAAGTACAGAAATTCTTTTGGAATATACGGAGACGTACACACAGGTCAGTGCAAACGAGAGTTGATATTTATAAGAGCTGTATCGCTAATGTGTTACCAGGAATATATGGCCCTTATTTCGTCTCTATTTTTGGTAATATACTCGATGCCAATAGGTATAGACAGTCACGTCTGACCGCGGTACTACGGCACTGATACTCTTTGACAAAATTCAACACTAAAACAAAACACTATCACTAGGTATCGAGTTCTTAGGTTTTCGCGATTGTGACACATAGGAAATGAAACTATTTTTCCGGATTTAAATCGCGTATATTTGTTTTTTCAAACAAACCGACGTTTCGGGCCCTTTACAGGTCCCGTCAACCGTGACCATGGGACCTGTAAAGGGCCCGAAACGTCGGTTTGTTTGAAAAAACAAATATACGCGATTTAAATCCGGAAAAATAGTTTCATTCACTATCACTAGGTATTGATAATGTTTTGTTTGGAACATATAATTGCCGTGAATGCTCTTGTCTATAGATTGAAGTCATTGAAAGTGATTAAAATAATTGACTATATTATAAGTATGAATGGTTTCAAGAATACACACCAGCTAAAAAAATTATTTATGTGACAATTATCAAACTGTGTTGTTTGAACTGTGATTTTTATCCACGATAAATCAACCACCGTATCAGTATTTTATATAGCCTTAACAAATTATTTTTGAGCACTGACTTGTACAGTCTCAGGATAAAATATATTTTAAATGGAATATTTCATAATATTGTCGATAATTTGATTTGTGACAGAAAACAAATTTCAGTGCTTGGTTAAAATATTTTTTGATAAATGATTATGAAACGTAATAATGTTAACAGTCAATATTTGGTTAATGAATTAGTTAATAAAGATGTTTTGTTAATGGACTGACAAAACCGAAAGCTGCAACTGGTTTTAACTGCAAAATGTTCTCGCGCAATACTGAGAATTTTTTAAAGAGCTTCACTAGCTTGAATTCGGAATATTCAAAAGATAGTGTTTTTGGAAACAAACTGGAAAGTTTTGTCAATACAATAACCCAGAACATCTTTGTTGTAAACATCTAAAAACAGATTTACATAAATATTCACGACGTTAATGATGCATTTAAATTTATAACAATATCACAATTTTCAATAATATACATAAAGACGTAGGAGTTTCTTTTGATTATATATTAAACAGGCCAAGCGTATTTAAAGTATAATAGCAAAGTTTGTGATATATATTTATTTTTAAATAACATTTTAGTTGGTATTTACATGTCTGGTAGTTTTAGAAAACATAGGACCACATTACGATGTCGATCACTCAAAAACGGGACGTAAAAAGAGGTATAAAAGATGACAAGACCATACATTTTTAGAATAAAATCATGTCTATATCTATATTAATTCCATTTTTAGAACACACATTTCCTAACAAACATGCATGCGTAATCATATACACCACGCAGTTACAAGATAAACGGATTTCAACATTCAATATACCGTTAACACGTCTAACCGACAAGCAAAATATACCAACAAACAAGGGAAATAATTTACATAAGGCCATACATTATTTACTGTACACGTATAACGAGTAGATGATTAATTAGATAAATAATGCAATATTAAGGGATAAGGATAATGTATCCGTATTTACGACAGTTTGGTCCATATAAATATTATTACATAAATCGTGTGTGACAAGTCCACTTTGTTACGTATCCAGCAAAAGAAACGATACACGAGTAATAAAATAGGATTTGGTATGAAAGACATCGTCCAAATTTTAATGTCTATTTACGTATTCGAGGTCAACAGTGTGTTCAATATGCCAGAAGTAACAAATAAAGGGAAGATAGGAAAATATTGTTCTATTCGCGTGCAAAAACACGGCGATAGTATTATTTCAAGAAGATTTGCTGAATACTTAAACACCAGTGAACGTCGCAGCGCCCTCAGCCGTCTACGGTCAGTCTTTTCAGCTAATCTTTACGAGTTTGTGCAAAATATACCACTAGTCGCGTAACTTAACTCCGTAATTTATTTACAAAACGTATCTCGACAACGAGATGATTAAGAAACGGAATGAACGAGCACTGACCGGGAACTGCCGGAGCGCCAAGTGTCATGTCCTTGAAAATCTCCATTCGCGGAGAGACTTGTAAGTTCGAAAGATTTCTCTTGTTTCCATAGGAATTCTCGTTATAGCACTTTCAAGAGTGCGAAGGTATAACTTCACAACCGGTTTCGTCCAGTCGTCCTGGATTTGAAAGAATTCTTGCAGCTTTAGCGTTCGCAGAAGATTGTCACGTGATTTGACCTCAAATACTTCACGATGGTCCTTGAGCCTGTCCAGCGGGAGCTTCTGATCTCATCTCTGATTTCAGCTTGACGAACTCTCTAGCCACTTCGTCGCTATGCCTCTGCGAGAGGATACGGAGGATTGTCCATCCAGTTTCATCCATCTTGACTCGTTTCCCAAGAGGCAGCCAGCATGCACATGAACCCTGATGATAAAAACAATATTAAATTAGTAGTTGGATACCACATGAATAAGCACCACTGATAAATTTGTACGAAACGATATTGAGTACAGCCAACAAAAAGCGAACGTTATAAAATTGTACAGTATATATCAAGTTAATCAAATGTAACACAACTTAGGGGAAAGCACACCTTATTATTTGTTTTTAAAGTCGTTGTACGACTTTAAAAATATGTTTAAGACGTTTACGAGGAAACATGTCATATTACAAGCAATTTATGTTTTCAGCAGAGGACGTAATTTAAATCGAGTAACGCGATTCGAGTTACGTACATTAATGATGATTTCTGATGTCATATAACTCGAGTAGCAAAAGGTGGAATGAGTAATGCATCTTCCGTTAATAAAATATAAGGTCATGCTACAGAAGTGTTCAAGCACAAGGTTCTTTGAATGCCATATTATCCAATATATAAAATAGTTAAGGCAAAAATCCGAGAGAAAGTAATCATTATCAAATTGATCATCAATCCATTATATACCCCACTGTTGGGTATCCATATCACATAGTCTGCCTCCCTGGCTAAATGTGAGTTGGTGATTTCACACGTTTTCTAGGGATCGTGTGAAGCGTTCTCGAGAAGCGGTTTCATCACGATATTTTCGTTCACCGTTAGTGTTATTCATTGCCACAGGAATACGAGCTATTTATCTCTCAAATGAGGAGCAACCATTTCCCCAACGGGCTACGTGACGTGATTGAACACACGCCAGCACACCAAGCTACACATTGACGTATCTTGTTCCGTTGTACTGGAGGCGATTTTCGAACAAACATTTGTAGTCTGATATGCCATTGTCCGTACTAAAATACACGCAAAAATTGGCTTGACCAGTTCACGTTAGGTTTTTCAACAATAAAGAAGAATGCTATTAAAGAAGAATCCAAACCTGTTCCGCAATATCAGCTAAACGCATTACGGCGACGCCGACGAGGCGATCCTCTCTAGCGAAGCAGTAATCTCTCACGCAGACGTGGAGCTCGAATAACTCCAATTGCTCCGTTGCGCTCACCATGCTGTAAAATGATGAATGTAAGATATATAAGAGCTGTAAGATATATAAGAGCGGTGACCTCGGTATGGCAATAGCCGCTGGCTTGAGCTAAGTCAGATCAAAGGAATTTTTCTTTGTGTTGTTCTATTAAAATCAATATAGTTCAAAATATCAGGTTGCCAGAAATATCTTGGTACTTTTGGCAAAGAATTTCAAAGCAAGCGATTTGAATTAGGAAATAATTAAAAAGGCACTCATGTAATTCATATTCATGAAGTAAATTAACAAAATATATGTGTTATTAGATTTGAAAACTTCATTCTGCAAGTGTAATAACAATCAATCGCGAGCTATGAAATACTTACAAATGGAAAGTCTCATTGAACTTAGGACTCCAATTGTTAGCTTTCGACTTGGTGGCAAATTTTCTCTTCTTATCAGCAAGGTGTGGCCCAATAAGATTCACTTCGATGAACGGCCTGAACATTCCGCTGGCTATCACCCAGTTGAGATCGTTTGCTGCTACCACTGAAAACAAAGTTTAAACAATTCTTGTATTTATTGTTCAAATAATGCACGGGATATGCGTACAGACAGAAACAGACCTAAAGGCAATTTAGTAAATCGACGTTGATGGTTCGATTTTACTTATTGTCGTGTACGATTAAACGATTTATAAACGTCTTACCTTTAACTGTGATTTTGTGTTCACCCGTGCCTGGATGTGTGAAGAGATCTACCTGGAGTGACACTTCTCCAACGCTTCCTTCTTCAGCTACTGCAGCATCTGTAATTATATTAAAATATATTTAACCATCTACAAACAGTATTATTTAATTATTTCAAAATATTTTCTTTTACACTGTTGCACAGTCTCCGTATGCAGGGTTTCTGTTTATATTTTAACATAAGAAGGTAAAATTATGATATATTTAATTCCACAAGGATGGTAATGAAATTCATTGTAAATAAAATTTAAACCGATCGTTAGTAATGATATTACTCATTATGTAGTCATTATCATTTCTCACTCCTAAGGCGATAGCCACCCTTGCCTGTTGCGGCTTGGGAGCTTCATTCGTTTTCCGTGGATTATGCTCATTATGTAAAGTATTCGAGGTTAATTTCTTCTTATCTCAAAAATCACAGATATTTTATATATAACAACTATATTATAAATACCAAAAGATTCTAGAACTTTACCCTGATTCTGCTGACTAGTTACGAAAGTCCTGATCAGCGTATCAGTGGTCTGCGTGTACAAACTCAACGCGTATCTCAATGACTGTAGTTCTGGACTCTTTTCCAGGAACGTTTTCTTCAAGCCATTGCCACCAGCGTGGAAATAAAGCTTGATGGTGTCGAGAGCTGCGTCTAGTACTGCACATTGCTTTGGTGTTAGACTCTTCTCTGCTGATAGATGCTGTGGAAAAGTTGTATGACAATGTGAACGACAAAACCAATGTTCCAATGCCTACCAGAATAACAAGTTTAACTCTTGACCCACAATTCAGACCACTTCAACTGTTTTATAATACTTTCTCAACCTAATATCAAACATAGGAAAATATGAATAGAGACTTATATTTTGTCAAACGCAATGTAACAAAGTCCATCCTAATAAAACAAATAACAAAAGATTTAGAACTCTTCAGGGCTTTGCAATTGCTCTACAAATACTTCCATTTTTACAACAGTGTATATTATGTATATTATTAATGTTACCTCTTTAGAAATATCCATGACTCCGGATAGCGCATGCTTGACGTCCTGCTTGCCAACCGTGCTCTTAAACAGTTGAGTCATGTCCTCAATTTTTGCATTTGCAGCTAAGTTTTTCGCGTTATTGGTTAGATTCTTTAACATCATCTGAAAAAAAGAAAACAATTGTGACGAAAGTTGGAAACGGAGATTAAAAATGAAGGGTTATTGTTAATATCATTTAAATTTAAGTCATCAATAACGATAATTCAAGTATAAGTGTTCAAAACACATAATGTAAGATAAACATGTATGTAAGTAGATAATATTAATTATATTTATCGCTTATATAGCTATAAGAAAGCAATTGCAGACTCTGAAATGAAGATCTTAAAACCTTCTTGTAAACTCTGCCTTCCTATTTTTTAAGGCACTTAGAACTTACCGTCTTATCAGTCATAGGCGGAAGCACAACAGTCTTTTCTAATATTTTCATGACGATCTTCCACAGTTCTTTCAGGAGTCGTTTCAGTACAGTCTTTTCACATGACTCCGCATACATCGTGAGGGAGCCATCCTGTTAAAACAACACATTAAAAAATTAATATAACGTGCTTTTATCACAGGTTACGCTACTGGTACAAAAACAAGTCCTCGTCATCACGCATTGGCACCTTCTCTTCTCAATCTGGTCTTTATTTGAGTTTAAAATTTTGTTTCCCCCTTAACATACCAAAATATCCATAAGCGGTCGTAGAACTTCGTCAGCTTCATGATGCGCTGGTGGCTGTGGTTGACCTGGTGCACCACCGCCACCCACTTTTTGTAGCAACTCGCCCAATTCTTTCACACTGGCTGTGATTCTTGTCTCCAAACTAGAAAACAAACGTATTATATAAATTTTGTTTATACCGAAGTAAGGGAGAAGGCAATAGATGGTCTATAGACATTTGGTTAAGAGCGATGGCCCCGGCATGGCAATTGACACTGGTGCTGTCAAATCGAAGGAATTTTTCTTTGTATTCGATCTTTGTAGCAACAAGCAATAAAAATTTGTAGCAAAAAGCCTTTAAACGGCTATACAAAGATACAAATATAATACAAAGATATAATACAATACAAAGATCCGCAACGAGCACATAGAGAAATTCGTTAGATCTGGCTGAGTGACGAAAAACGTTCACAGACTTCTCATAGATGGCGTTACGACAAAAAACTCGTTAAAAAAAATAAAATAAAACAAAGATCTGCAGCAAGTACACAGAAAAATTCATTGAATCATAATTGAGTAGTAAAACATCGTGATAGTCAATTAACTTCATAATCGTAAGATCTGCTGGCCCAATGCGTAGTTCAGTTTGTAAGAGCCGAAGCCACGTCGAGGTGACAGACGCTGTTTGGAGTCCAATCGGATGTAAGGAATTTTTCTTTGTGTTTGTTCTATTTTTGTATTAATAATAATAACAAACTAGTGGAGTATTTAAAAAATAACATCATGGTAGTAATATCATCACATATTGGATAAAAAGCGCTATAAAGTGGAAGTCCCTTGCACACCTTAGTCCTTTATTGACTTATGATTTGGGCACTTTTCAAGGCGAGAGTGAACAGGCGTTATTTAGATGTACATGCTCAATTGTCGACCTCATATCGTCACTTTCCATCAGGTGAGATGGATGTTCAATACGGACTAATTTTTTTTTACAAAAAAATCTCTATTAAAAACAATTATTTTTGCGTTTTTTTATATCAAGTGACAAGCGAATAAAAAAAGCAATATAGGGAAAGTAAATTTCGAAATGTTGGTATTAAAACAAACGTTACAATAAACGTTAAAACCAAAAACAAATATCTGCAACAAACACGTGAGAAATTTGTAAGGTCTGCTGGTTTGTTCCGTACCTCAGTTGCGAAAGTATCAGCCACGGTTTGATAAGGTCGTTAGTTCGGTTCAGCCGGATTGAACGGTTTTTTTTTGTGTTCGATCTTTGTATTAATAATTATGTTTGCATTGTTAGTAAATTACGTTACATAGGTACCTGTTAGCAAACATAGAAGCAAGTTCGTCGAGCGTACTGTTCAGACTCTGTTGGAGATCATGAAGGATGTCAGCTGCGTCCCGCTCCAGTTTCGTACCACCCATGGCTTCAAACATCTTTTCAAGTTGTACACGCAGTTGTTGAATATTGTTCATTAGGATACATGCCTGGAAGCAACAGAAGAAATTTTATGTAATATCTAAAAATTTTAATTATTAACTCTTTTAATAAAAATATGCATATGAACTTATTAGGTTAATCTTTCATCAGGTTTTATAGAAAATTAGTAACAATGTTGAAATTTAAAACAAAATTTATGTAAAATTAGAATTTCAATATAATTTCTGAGGCACTGTGTGAGTTACACGACCCTGTAACCGACCATTTGTTTCTGTAAGGGTTGTAGCTGTGGGTTAGCGTAGCGAGAGGCACATTTCAATGAGAAACGAGGACAGTAATCATAAATAAAATTTTACTACGTATATTCAATTTCGAAGCTTTGTCCAGAACAACCACGACGTTCTTTTTTTACAATGCAATTTATTTTTATCTAATCCTAAACACAAACCTATATTTATTCAGCCAGTTCTAATACAAATCATAGAGCCTAGTAATAAAAAATAACAACTTGGTAGTAATATCATCACATATTGGATAAAAAGCGCTATAAAGTGGAAGTCCCTTGCACACCTTAGTCCTTTATTAACTTATGATTTGGGCACTTTTCAAGGCGAGAGTGAACAGGCGTAGTGTGTGAACATAAGTAGATAAGTGTGAAGAAAATTATTATCACTAATTACAGGTTTTTTAACACGGTATGAGTTCTTTTTGCTTTCCCGATATTTCGGAACGGTTACACGCTCTATGATGACGGGTTGACTCAGTCAATACGGTTACACGCTCCATGATCACGGGTTGGTTCAGTCAATTATTGATAAACAGTAATTAGTGATAATTTTTAGTGAATAACCAATATTGTGAAGAAAAGTATTAAACAAATTTAACCTTTAACCTGTGGGCAATAAAATTAATTTTGGTACGACTTTTTCATTGCATCATTAGTGAACGACTTGTTACGAAATAAAAATTTCATCCATAAAGCTGACATTAACAAATTTCTATGGAATGTGTAAGAAGGCTCTCAGAAACAAAAGGTTGGCTAGGAGGTCAGGTAGCTTCGGCTTGGGGAATCGACTGTACGTATGCACATTAAATGTAAATAATATATGATCACGTAATCGCCCTGTGTACATTATAATGAAAATTTCGCGTTCAAATTTAGTGCGACGTATTTGCTATGACCACAGTTTATCTAGATTTGTTTTAATGCACACACTCATAGCCACGCACTACGGAAACTCTGTATTGCGGTTGATATGGACGCATACGTAGTCAACCACAAATTACACCCAAACTCACGAAAGAAATAAATGTAGGCCATACAAATATTTCTTACTCGGTACTTTAAAACGGTGATCAACGTCCGGCGTGTTCAATATAATAATGGTAGTAGGATGTTGTTAGGACTACCATACTTTTGCAGTGCATCAGGCAGGTCCATATAGCGCATGTGGGCAGCTTTAGCGCGATGATGCGTAAAAGGACGGCCTCACAGATGCGTCGCATGCGTGAAAGTTCCAACAGCAACAGACGCTTGATTAGAACGTACCCTGCTTGTGAAATGTAGAAGCATATTACAACATCCTTTGTTTTATAATACGAAATGACGAGACGAACAAATCGTGCACCTGACGGTAATCGACACGCCCACAGACACGCCTGTCTATAGCAGCTGCAGTGTCACTAAGAGCTCAAAAAACCCACATGTGTTTTTTATACAAAACTGAGGACTTACTAACTTAGACCTGAAGCATGTAATAATATTTATTACACTTTAATATACATTGAGTATTTAGCGCATTTCCAATTGTAGTTTGTTGGGTCTTAGGAGATAAATACGTACCACTCGCTCCTCCTTTAAATGTTCAGGGAACTCCTTCTTCACAATATCAGCGTAAGCGACCAAAACTTTGACGATAGTCTTAGCGAATCTCTTCATATACCGTTTCCAAATCTCAGGATCTGGACATTCGAGCTTGGAGACCACGTCGAAACATTGCGTCAGTTGTGTAAATACGTCAACAACTGAATTGCTGAACAGAGCGTGTTCACTGGATTTTTGGAACTGAAAAGAGTATATATATTCATTTTAACTGACACAATTAACGACTTTACAAATATTTAAACAATTAACGACTTTATAAATATATATATATATATATATATAGGTATATTACGCAGTTAATTCTGCGGCTGGTACAAAAAGTGCCTAAGTTTCTATTACTTACGCACTTCTTGTACCAAGGCACATAATATGAGCAACTATAGAGTGCGTACAGACTTGGTGCCAGATTCGCCTGTTTGCGAAAGGCTTACGAGGAGCACATGTGCATTACCGCCTTTTTTTGAAATAGTCGTAATAGGCAGTGCGATATGCGAATGTACAATAATTGACAAAATGAAACTAGTGTTTCGGATCTAAATTTCGATTATAATGCAAGCCAACGCTTCGTTCGGGCTTTCTACGGCTCCAAGGTGTCTAAGATAGTATCTATTACTCATCTAACAATCGTCTAATATTAATATACACTACCCTACTCTGAACTATACTTACAAAATTGATTATTTTTAATTTACCAAAAAATTATATTCCAATTTGCGCTACATAAATACGTTCTGTAAAATTTAAAATATTTTAAAATATAAACAAAGAACAAGTAACAAAGAGCATGAATTTGCGAAGGCAGAATCATCGTTAAATTGATAGAGCAGACCTCCGTGCATTGAAGAGAAAAATGACAATTAGCGTGAAAACCTGCATACATACCCCATCTCTCTTATCCCTGTTGAAAGCCCCATTAAGGTACTCTAGGGAAACGTCATCGTTCTCGTTGAGCCACTGCATCACAAACGGCTCAAACCAGGCTGGGTATTCCGGTACTGCTCCGCAATATGGCGGTACGTCTTTCACGTAGTTGGTGTGGAGCCATTTCACCTGTTGCGTACGGATAATAGAGTTCTCTGAAGTAACGAAATCGATATGATTCTTGACATATTACTTTGGTAGAAATCTGCTGGGCTATCTATTACTTGCGCCTTATAAAACATGGAAATGGGACGCACAAATTGTCTGACAAACGATGAATAATGTATCAGAACTCAGGGTGTGTTCGTGCACCTAGTTAATACGTTATAATTTAAAGTGTTCCAAGAAATTGTTGTGATATGGGTATTAAAATATCCAATAAAATGCCGAATAATTGAAAGCATGGCCGACAAATCAATAATGTAGAAAAGTAAAGAAATTGATCTTGTAAAAATGTTTTACATCAATAAAGGTTTAGAAATGTTTAATAAGTTTATAACACTGTAGTATATGTTAAGAATTAATATTTTAGTGTATAATGTAAGTTTGAATTTCTGCAAGTCAACAACTGATAAGATATGCTGCACTTATAAGTTACTTGTCATAAATTTTTATATAACCACATCTTGTGCAAATAAAAAAAATTTCATTTCAAAACATTTCAAATAATTTCTATTAATTCCAAATCATCTCATATGATTTCAGACTAAATGTCAAATATAAATTAAAGTACCTTGAAATGTAAATTCATGTATGCGGAAGACTTGCATAGCCGGTGCTGTTCATGTTCTTCTAAAGCATATTTCATGTCCACGGCAAATAACGACCACATAGTTGCTGCAGACAGCTGTAATAAAAGCATGCAAGTAGCAAGTAGCAAATTTAAAATACACTTTCACTTTTAATTGACACGGTAAGTCAATTTATTTGTAGTGTCTCTCGTTTAGGTTTGAAGGATAATTGATTTTATATCGTTCAGAAAAAGAAATCACGTTTAAAACATTTTTCTCGAACTAATATTACAATGCCAAAATTCAACAAATGAATCAATTCAAAACCCAGTCAGTGTTCTAATAGAAATACAAAAAAAAGTACCTGTCCAATATTAAGCTCTTGAGGAAATTGATTAAGAACTGGAGCGTAACTGTTCCTATCCTCCTCTATCACAGACACTATGAGAGCTATGAGCTTATGCCAGAAGTCTACTGAGTCCAACTGGGGTCCATGATCTGCTGGATCACGTTTCGCTTCGTTTGGATCCACCTGTATAAACACAAATAACAACAAAATTTGGTTACTGTAGCATCGTAATTTTTATCTAAAAGATTTTCTTTTTGAAATATTAAACGCACAGGTTGATTCTTGAGAAATCATCGTGATCAAAAGAACCTGTTGCCTGTTCTTATTTAATTTGTTCAATGAGTTGATTACAAAGTATGTTTGCTTTAATTAGTACATAGATATTTGAAATTAAACAATTATGCACCAAAACCAGATTTATAAACAAAGAGATAAAGGCCGTCATAAACAACTAAACGTTTCGCCGAAACACCCCAAAACTTTTTCTAACTTTTGCTTATTTTGATAGCAACATTTTTAGGAAGCCCATGATACTGACAGTGATTTATGAAAAAAGTTTAAGAAACGAAATGCATAGCTAATCGTACGAAATTACCTGGAATTCTCTGTTGTATAATTCGTAGCAATTTTCAAAGAGGAATTGATATGTTGATCTAAGGCAAGCCTTTACACAGTCTTTGACGACTGTGCTGGCACGTGGCGGACTGCTGAGCTCTTGAACCTGAAAGTATATTATAATCATGAAATAAAATAAAATAATAATGGATAAAATTGGATGTGAAAGAAACTAACGTTATTTAGACAGATATTTTTGTGGACCTCAGTAGTTTGCTCTGTTGGACGGGAGGTCCCGGTTTCAATTTTCGATAGTACCAATTTGGGAAATGAACAAAAGTTCATTTCCCAAATTTTAGAAAACTAAATTAGGTCTGGGTGTTCAGAGTAGTGCCTCAGAGAGAATTTCGTTGCACTGGTATTCATAGCAAAGGGAATTCCTTAGTTTGAGATCACTAGGGCTAGCACGACTGGGCGCGACTTGCACGAAAGAGGCATAAACCGCGAAACCTCTATGCTAAAATAGCAGTATCTCGCGCTTTATATCACTCTCATGCTATTGTATTAGCCCTACAGGTAATTGGTATAGTTGTTTAACACATTACAGATATCGTGTGTAACATTTCATAGGTTTAAAATGACAAAATCTCGAATGTTATTTTAATTCTTCTAAATTATTAACTTGGTGCAAATAGAACTAAACTAATCAATTGATTTCATTAAGATTTTTAATTAGTAGTCAACAAATGACTCCACATCTCATTTAATTTTAATACAATAGCCAACTTTGTTACCGCTCATTTATTTATACACAATAAGTAAGTAAGGCAAATTCTTAAAGATATTAATGAGTCTAAAGGCAACTCAAAAGATACTCACCTTCATTCTAAAGAACGTAATACTAGTAAGCAAGTCGACTGTAGACTTAAGGTCCATGAGCTTCTCAGCGCTGGAGGCAGGGAAGTTGTTTCTGTACATGGACAGGTCGATCCGGAGGGAGTTGTGAAGCTGATCCAGGAGTTTGACGAATTTTTCTTTCTGTGGAAGATTCAATATTTTGACTAGATGATTTACGATTTGTTATTTAGTGTTTTTAAGTATGCAAATAAATTCCATGTAGAATAGAAATCCAGTTTGGTCTTTGAAATTGGCAAAGATGAAATCATTGGATCAATAGACGAGGGACAGTGGACATAAAAAGTCAATTATCTATTACAGGTAACAGAGATAAAATAAACACGCATAAGCAACTTTTGCTTGTCCTAGAACAAAGTTTTAGTAATTAAATGTTGAGAGCACTTACTCCAAAGTTAGAAGCTGCAAATCTATCTGAAGCAGAAACAGCTGAAGATGCAGTTGTGTGTGCGTAGTACGCATTGATGTTAGCTAGTAACGTGGACATCACTGCTGGTACTCCCGCGCATAGATACTTCGTTGAAAGACAGTGAAAGTGGCTGAAAAGTAAAAAAAACTGTAAATATAAATGGTTACCTTATTTACAGTGCCTAATAAAGTAGATAAATTAAAGAAGCTACGTCTATTGGCTAATAAAAAACCAAACACTATTTAAGTCTCAAAACTAAACAGTATCAGAGTTATTAACTTCTGCTACTTTAAAAGAATCCTGCGATAAATCCCTTGTTATGAACAGTCACCCTCAAAAGTATCTAACGTTAAACTAACTAATTAAAATATAAGTGACCAATTACATTTCTACCTACGTTTAAAATTCTCAAAATATTCGATAAAAATCAACTAATCTCATTCAAAATGATGATTTAATTTTATTTCAATTTCAAATTTCAGTTTTTTTTATAGTATAAGTGATGGGACGAACAAATCGTGCTCCAGATGGTGAGATACATGCTTGTCCATAACAATTGCAGTGCCACTCAGAGCTTTAAATCGCAAAGATCTGAGGGACACTGCCACTGCGCCCGTCACCCTGAGACATAAGTTGACAAGTCCCATGTGCCTGTAATTTCACCAGCACCCTTACCCTTCTAAACCGGAACGCAATAATGCTAACATTACTGCTTTTCCGCAGAAATAGGTAAGGTGGCAGTACTTAGCTGGACGAACTCTTTCACAAGGAGCTCTACTGCTGCTAAAAAGTGTATTGACATCACCTGAATTTGTTTTGTTAATTTTACCTCTCAGATCAGATCATTCGGAGGCAGATTATACTTTTAAAGTTTGAAGGGCGATATAGCAAAAAAATAGTATACTTAAAAAGTTTGCACTGTTTACAAAACTTGTGTGTACTATAAAGTATAGAAATGATTCGTATTTTCAATGTTTAATGAATATTACTAATTTAACGGGCAGCGAAAACATAAGACGAAACAAGCTTACGTCAAATCACAGAAACAAAAAAATATGAAAGAGTGCAACAATGAGGAATAATACTGTAAACGTTATAAAGAATAACAGTACCTTTGAAATTAAGTAGGCAATTCAATGCGTAATTCGAAAACCAAAAATTCAACAATCTACAAAGTAGGTCGTATAATAATGATATCAATAAAAGGGTCGTGAGTGAAAAGGGGGCGTATATTGCAAGAAACATGGCGTGTTTAGGTAACACTAATCAACGTATGGCTAATCATAAAACGGGTGAAGGTGAACTTAAAGGTATATGTATCGGC